ATGTGTAAATGAAATAACTTTAATAATTATAAATTATTAAATAAATGAAACTGATAATGTAATTTCTTTCCCCAAATTCTCCTTGAATTGCCGAACTCCTTTTGACTTCTTACCTGCTTTTGCAGTGTTGAAAATTTATTGTAATGCCTGGGCCCTGGTACTGTACTGAACCCGCCCTACCGAAAGTGGTGTTCCTATTTGTTGCAAATCACTTTCTCTGACACGTGTCAATAGAACCCACTGACAATCCAAGGATTACTGAATCGTTGTTACTGAAAAATCGATTGATGGTAAAACGTATTTGTCCTTCCTTCTGTGAACTAAGTTAGCAGCTAAGCCATCAGTGGGATTTTCACCAAAATTGAGAATTCCTGATTGAGCAAATGTCACGGCTCCTTGAATATGAAACTGATGTTTTGATTTTTGGGGGTACTTTACATGAAACCTCATCATTTAAAATTTTTTCTCAAAAATAGCTCCAAATTGTTTTCTTTGATAGAGCAAAAACCACATAAAGACATGGCGTTCGTGTTTAGTAGCACTCCCTGAATTTCAAAATTGTAAAAGTTCAAACTTTTCTGACATTTTCCTACAACTTCAATAGTGAAGGTAGAATTTTTTTTTCTTAATGAAATTTGTTCATCAATAACAAATCTTCAAATATGGTTGTGTTTAACATCCACAATTTTTAAACATTTTTTCTCAATAACAATTCCATTTTTTCCTTTGTGTGTAGCAATGAACGGTAAAAAAAATGGTGTTGGTTCCATTACCGGCGCACACTTTATTTTTCAAAGCTGCAAACAAAAAGTTAAGTAAATAAAACTAAAATAATGATAGGTATTTTTTTAAAAATGAAATGTTCTCAAATATTAGTTACTTAGAAAAGGTCATGTAATATGTAAGAACGTAGAATTTTTAACTTTCTCGCGTATTACTTTCACAGTATATTTTAAGGCAAAAACATGCATTGGATATGTTTGTGAATACTTTGAATATACATAACTTCATACCTAACGAGATGCTCATCAGCACGTAGTTTCTCTCATTATTTCTAAATTTGTAATTTTCGAAAACTCAGTGTGCTATTCTTTTAAGCATCCTGCTTGTTTTATCCCGGAAATTAATTAATTCAAAAAGGTCCTCTTACCAGGATACAAAATGTCTAGCGCAGGGATTCCCAACCCTTGTCTTGTATTGACCCCTTTTCATAGAATGGTTTAATTCATCGACTTCATTTTCTTATCCCTATTGATATACAGAATACAGCATCATAACTAGAGCCCAGATTTGTATGCAAATGCATATATTTTTCTAATTGGAAGGCAATCACGTATCTTTACAAACCTGACCATTTAGAATTATATTTTACAGTTACTGCATATTCAGATTAATTTTTCAGAAAATGATAGTAATTTATTAAAATCACACTTCTTGAAATTGGTATATTATGATTGAGTTATCGTGGTTCATGGAGTAGTTCACTAATCATCATTGATACGTACACAATACCTCCTAGATACTAGATAGTGGAGGTATTGGAAGTGAAAATATTTTTAGTCTCAATACTGTTGCCAACCATCTGCGCAATGTAAGGTAAGATTGAATTTCAGGTGAAAGGACGTGGGTCGTCGCACTCAGTCTCAGACTCGAACAAAATATAAAACCCCGATAGTCCATGGTTTTCTTATTTGTCACGAATCTAGTTTCTTGTATATAACTAATATAAGCTCGAAAGGGAGAGGTAATGCTTGTGCATCAACGCACCATGTGCTAATTGGTGGTCAGTAGGACCTACTGAAAGATCTAATATGTAACAACATATGCTCACAGGCATGCCCAATGAATAAAGTATCTTAACACAAACAAACCAGTTTTTCATAAACAAATTTAGAAGAATATCATTTCATAAATTTTAATTTTTTTAAAACTAAATAAAGAATGTTCTTTGCTTACTGAATTTATGAACATTTTCTTAAATCTACTTCCCAATGCATCTTCTAACTACAACTATTTCAATATGTTTAACCCAATAACTCTTCACAGGTTATTCATACTTGCATATGGATGTATATGAGGGTAAATGTAAAGAATTTGAAATAAAACTGGACATCAGGACCTTAGAGCAAGTATTATACTAAAATTACTAAGTCTACTGAAAACACCACATTTGCACAGGGTTTACTTTGATAACCTTTTGACTAACTTCAATCTAATAATGCATCTCAAATGCAATCTAATGACATAAGAGGAACAGGTACTACAGGTACAGTAACATTGACTACATGTTTGACATCAACAATGAAATTTTAGGTGTCATAAAGACAACAATTATGTAAAATTGTTGACTAATAATGGAGTAGTTGAGACACTTTCCTAAGTGAAACGATGAATTAGGTATCAGAAAAAGAAACAAAGGTGCCTCAACTACACCTTATGGCATAATACAACAAGAATATAGTGGGAGTTGATCAGCTAGATTGGAATGCAAATAAGTATCAATCAAAAATTAGAGGGAAAAAATGGTATTTCCCTATTTTTTAAAATATCACCAATACTGCATTAGTAAATGCCCATGCTCAAATTCTCCTTCTGCCTTTCCAAAGAGGTGTTGCTACAGCATATTTGTTGGAATTATCTGATCTGAAAGCCAGAAGAAAGACCATCCTACAGGAGGGCAGCTTCTACCAGTTGTGGCAGTTGCAAGAATGTGTGCAAACGTGTAAAATGTGATGTAGGACTACATATGGAGTGTTTCAAGACATGGCATAGAAAATAGTCATGAAATGTTGTAATCCCCAATTGGGGATTTCTCCTAAAAGTGTTATTTTTTCAATAAAAATGTATTGAATTTCAAAAAGGGACTTAATTCATTTCACTGCTACATAAATAAAACCAAATAATCATATTTAGATCAATAAATAAAATTTGGAGTTAATGGGTTAATAGACCACCTAGAACCGCCAATTACTATGCTGATAGGATTGATTTATTCAATCATGATAAAAATAGACCAGTATATACATTTTTTTTTCTTTTCTACTTAGAAAAGCTTTTGACACAATAAATCATGTCACAACATAGATTTTTTCAATCCTGATTTTAAGTGATTTGAAAGAACTTAAAATTGTCCTTTTAAACACTAGATGCTAAATATTATTTTTACTTATCCTTTTTATAGCTATGACTTTATTTTTTGTTATTTTGATATTTTGTTCTTGCATTTTTCTGTCTTGTATATCCTTCATATTTTTTTTGTAAAGTGTTCATCCTGTTTACTGAAATAAACATAAGTAACTACTTCAAATATGGACATTACAGCAGATATACCATTTTTCGTTCACAGAAAGCATAACTTGGTCACAGTGAACATCAATCTGAATTCACTGTATCTTCATTTATCAAGGTAGAAATCAGATTTTGTTTTGGCAAACGCCTAATTACTGTTTTGACCTACACACTTTACAAAGTCAATGACAATAACAATCACATAGATAAGTCTCCAAAACAAAATGTTCTAGGACCTGTTGAGGCCGAACGTTTCAAAGAAACATTCCACACAACGTAATTTACAGGTTAAATCTTTTTGGACATTCTTTTGTTGGCAATTCTCGATACTTCATTGGATTGCAATTTCAATCATTGCAATACCCAATCCTGTATTACCACATGGACAATTTTACGTAGCTTTCTCGAGCGCTTTTCTAATATTTTGTGACTACCAAGGAAAGTGACAAGCAAACTGTCAACGATGATTATCTAATTACTTCAAATGTTTTTAGTGAAGTATTGTGAATTGAAACACCCAGAGAGAAGCCAACCCACAAAATTCAATATATCAATTTGAACACATAGAATATGATAATAAATTGATGTTTTGAATTTTGTGGGTTAGCTTCCTCTCACTGGATGCCTCAATTGTTACAAAAACATCTGCCTACAATACTGAATTAATCTTTTTTACAAACTTGTTCAAATATTAATTCAATTAAATTTTTATTTTAATTTGATATTCTTTAAGTACACTGGAAGTTATTTATACATTTTTAAAACATTTAAACACATTTCATTAAAATCTTTCCCTTTCAATATGGAAATGGAAGAGGGGAAAAAGGTGGGGCTTAACATGCAAGAGATTTTTAACAAATACGTTAGTGTGTTCATTACATTGCCAACAGTTTACCGCTTTTTGTTGCAAGCGGACTCAAATTACAATTCAGCTGGCGTGGCTACATTTACTTTGAAGAAATATTCTCTAATTGTGTATTTAAGCCAACCTTGAAGGAGGCACAAAATTTGATAAATAAATAATCTTCCATTATTCTGTGAGCGGACTATTTACATTTTAGGACGCTGAAAATTAAAAGCAATGAAGGAGTCATTTGGCAGAGGATACACAATTTACATGTATGGGAAAGTTGTTTTTATCAGCCATATCGGCCAACAGTTAAGCAAACATTAATTCATTGAACTTCAGCGATATGTAGTCATTCTCAGAACTCCGAATTGAATCTTCTATAAGAATGACGACAGTACAAATGCTACACTTGTCGTTTCTAGGTTTGGAGAAGAAAAAATCCCCTTTAAAAATTATGCTACCAAAACATGCAAGGCTCCCAAAGCGAAATTTTAAGGCATAAATATCCAGTGTAATCATTAGTCCCCTGATTAATATTATGAATGGATGAACTGAAAACTATTAACAAGGCAGGCAATTTGTTGATTGTCAAAAATATTTGTAGTCACAATCTGCACATTGTTGTATCCAAAATTTCAATTAAGTATATTCCCTTTAATGGAATTTTTTTCTTTATCTTGCCTATTTATATAATTTGCCTACAAACTTTATTAATGAATGTATCAAAACAAAAGATGGTGACTGAAAAACCACTGAGCAACAAATTGCATAAGAAGAAAGATAGTAAAAATATTTTTGAAAATCTATCTTCCTCTGAACTCGTCACATATTCACATACAATGTTAGAGAACGCTAGAAAATTTAGTGTAAGGAAGAAAAGAAAATGAGACAGATAAAAAAACACTTGCTGAACATTTTTTTATTTATCTGTACAAAAATTGACTTAAAAATATCTATAATCTAGAGTAAACCTTTTAACATATTACAAAAGTACAAACTGACATTTCACATTCGGTAAAGGTAACAATAACAATAAATAGTTAAAAACTACGTCATATATTTTACGATGAGACTTTTTCTGCGTGTTATACATCATCAGATTTTGCCTTCGTGTTTTCAAGAATCCAAGGATGAGTTAAAACAGCATCCAATAACAAACGTCCCATTGGATCAACCACTAACAACTGAAACAGAAATAACATCACAGTTCAGGTACCTTTAACCCTCTGTGTTCCTATGTTGAGTGAGGCTCAAAATCAAGATTTTTGTTTTTCACTGCAATGTTGTTCATTTGACACAGTTTTCTATTCGTTTTGCCCGTTTCGTTTCTGTAAATGCAAAATTTGAAGCTCTTTTCATAAAAATCTTTTGAGTTTTCAAAATTTTTTATTGGAAGTAATTTCACAAACGCAACAATGTTAACAAATCAATGGAAATGAGCATATTAAAGACTGCAGCGTACAGCATTTTCAGCGAAGAGTTATTATACACGTCAACAATCAACAAAGTTTCTCGGAAATTAAGATTAAAGTTCACGAGACATGGCGTCAGTGATACTTTTCACACCTGAAGGTAAAACTGATCTCAGTCATTAACACTCACTTCCCTCCACTGAGATAACTGATACAGATGAGCAGGACTGTGAGAACATCCTACTGCGTCTTCATGTAGCGAACTTCGTGTAGACAGCACGCAGTAACGATGTAGGAAATAAGAGTGTTTTTTATTACTTTTCATAAAATTGATAGAATAAAAAATATTTTGTGGAAATAGCAAAGTATGTAATATAGTACTAAATGTGTAAAAATATGTAACGAAAAATTTGATACTGAGTTGGACGGCGACGATTTGCTAAGATTAAAATTTTTAGATCGGTATGTAGAAAGAAAAAAATATGTAATTACATAAAAATCTGGTCACTACTTAAAGTTCCTTGAAAATTCAAAAGTAATCCGAGAAATTGTGCTCGCAGTTCTGAATTTTCAGAAACACTCATACATTAGTTTCTTAAAATTGAAGGAAAATACCAATACAGCCCAAAAGAAATAAGGGAACAAACTAGTTCGAGAAAGTCTCTGCCATTTTATAACTTCACTAGTTTATTTTATTTCACAAATCACACTACTGGTGCTATCCCCTAAAACCGAAGTGTAGAACTGAATTTACCACGAAAAAGTGCACGTTTCCAAATAATTCGGATTTTTACACCCCGGTCATCCTTCGAACAAGTCCCGTAACCTGTGACTTGCTGGCTCAAGAATGATTAGTAGTAGCGATAGCGAATTCTTTAAAGGAGACAAACGCTGTTGTGAGATCCAAAATAGAGTCCTAAGATAAAAGACTTTGTGCATAATATCTGCTCATTCTTTCCAGTAGTGGAATCGTAACGCAAATCTTAGAAGTAAAATATTTGTAAAATAAGATGGGAGATGTAATATTGGTGATATTTACGAAATTGGTTGAATTTTCTTTTTGAAATCAGTTCCAAATTGAAATAGATATTTTGAGCAATGCCTCAAACAATTTTATTTCAGTATTCGAAGGAAGACTGAAATATGTGAACAATATACACTACTATTACAGATGATATGATACAAGAATATTTACTTCTGTTACAGCATCACTAGTTTGATATGTGGGGAAAAACATATTGAGATGCAAAGGGACAAAAGCATAAACCGACTGCCTTGCTCTTGTCCCGCAACTTTGGCCTCTTCTGCCGGGGTTCGCAGCATGCTGTCTGGGCTGACCGTGCCGCTGCGCCCACAACCCGTGGGTGACTCAACTGGGTGGAAGGGAGAGGAGAAGGGGGTGCGAGCTGTTTCCCTAAATTTCACTTTACGATGCTCATATTCATCCGATTTGCATGATGGACACCGCATTGGATTCAGGAATCATGTCGCCATTGTGCTATAAGCTCACATTTTTAAATTTTTCCTTGGAAATTCAAGTATCAATTTTAAATTAGAGATTTTTCTAGTTTTTTGGAAAAATTGCTTCACAGAGTAAATCCTATTTTAAAAATGCCATTTACACATCGCAAATTAGACCACTGGTTCAGACTTTATTGGTGAAGTAAATTCCTCTGTGACAGTGCTGGGTTCTGTGGAAACTTCTTACAAGTATTTTTCGGTACATTTAGCCTTAAATCGCAGAGCATTGTGCGAGTCCAGATTGTCTTTATTCAGTTTGAAAAAAATCTTAAGCATAGTTTAGGCGCTACTGTTGTTCACATACACAAGACAGATGGATGTTTTGAAGAAGAAGGTAGAGAAAGAAAGAAAAAGAAAGGAAAGAAAGAAAGAAGAAAAAAAAAAAAAGGGGGGGGGACACGCACACAACTTTTTCGATATCTGGGAACCCCAAAAAATGTATTCCCATTGACATCTCTAAATCAATTTTCCACTGAATTTCATAACTTTTCCTCCTCAACCTACATATGTACGTTTATGAGATAGTAAAAATGGGTATGAATATAAAATTGCACTCGCGTAAAAAGCTTTAACTTTTGATGTTGTAAAATACATAAGATGTTCAAGTATGCTCATTTTATTTGTAAACATATGCATATTTTGTAATGTAAATAAAGAGTTAATTCACATTGTAATAGTAACTTGTGCATTTTAGTACAAAAGAAAAAATCTATGAATTATTGAGTGTTTCAATATTCAGTGTTATAGCAAAATCTCTCAAGTAGTTATTTTCATTTATACACCTCGATAAATGTTAGGCAATTTTTATTGCTATCATTTACATCACTTCCTTCACAAGGGCTTCACAATTGGAATTTTAGATAAACAATTATGATAAACCAATTTGTAATAAACGAGTTAAATTGAATGACATCATGTAACAAACTCGCCTTGCATTATAGAGACATTCCACATGAACACTTGTAACAATAAATTGGGTACTTTAAAACTCTTCATAATACAGTAGTTGACTGTAAATAGATCGAAAGCTAGGGAGAAACTAACAAAACCTTATTTTCATAGTTGACTGTTAGAGGGTGGTGGGGTGAACCAGTAGTAATGCCAATGTTCAAGTTATTTTACTTTTTCCAAATGTTGAAAAACTCAAGCAGTATTCAATAATGACTACGAGTCTTTGTACTAGTGATTACTTACCTTGGATATGAGATCCCGAGCTTTGGAAGAAACGTATGGGGGGTACACATATTCTGCTTTACTGATTCGCACATATGTTTCTTCGTAAGTAGGTGTTTCAAAGGGAGGTTTTCCCACGAGTAATTCATAACACAACACTCCTAAGCTCCAGAGGTCAACCTTCTCATCATGAGTAGCCCCTCGAACCATTTCCGGAGGAAGGTAATCTAAGGTGCCACACAAGGTTTCTCGTCTAAAACAGGAAGTATTTATTATCCACGATAATATTTAACTAAAAACAAAGATTCCAGAATATCAAAAGGGTTAATACAGGCTTAATATCACATTGAACTCTAACATGAATTCCAAGGGACCAAAATTATCAGAGTTTGTGTTATCCAAGTATTATAAATGTCCATATTACTGTAATGCCTAGCCAGGAACTAAGTTTTGTTTGTATTACGGGAAAATCAGTGTTAAGTGGGTTCATGCTAACGAGGGTTTACTGTATAATAAATCCAGAACTCAATGAAAAATACTAGGATATGAACAATATCAATGGATATCTAATCAAAATGGACATACAGAAAGGAACTGTCCATCTCTCTCTCTCTCTCATAAACTTGCTAACCAAATCATTAAAAACAGTATCACTCAATCACAGCATCTCTTACAAGTTTCCGTGAAACCACAAGAAAATAATAAAAATGCACATTCCCGTAATTTTTAAACAAATTACATATTACTTAAACTAGTATGAAAACAACATGCTAATGATGGACAAAATGTGAAATTAAAAAAAAAATTCTATCGCATAAACAAAGAAATCTTTTTGAAATCTATAGAAAGAAATTGCTTCATTTAAAACTGACTTTTTCAGAAATTGTTTAAACACATGAATAACATGCAAATCATCCTCAAAAAATAAAGCATTACCTGGATGAAGGAGAATGTACAGACCAGCCAAAATCAGCAATTTTCAATTCCCCCTTCATGCCAAGGAGGAGATTTTCAGGTTTGATGTCTCTATGAATTACCTTTTTGCTGTGCAAATATCTAAGGGCATCAGCAAGCTGAGATACATAATGAGCAGTGCTGGAGAAGAATAAAAAACATGAATTAAAAATTAATAGACTCCAGCATTATAAGCATTGCCCATTCACTACAACAAAATACTAATCCCAAATTTTAAAATCGCTGGCAAGGTAGATACCTACTAATAACACATAAAAGGCATAAATATATATTTCAAATTAAGATCTTTTTGATCGTGTAGCAATCATCATCATAATTACCAGATCTATCTTGCAGTGACTGAGCAGAAAATGAATTTTACACTTCCAGTCAGTATCTGATACCATACAACACCTTTTATTTATTTAGTCCCAAGTAGTCCCACTTTTCCATAACTTTCTGGGCTAAATGGCAGATTCCTTACCTTGCCAACAATGCAATTGGGTGTAGTATGATAGAGGTGATTTCAATCAAATGATTCGCCCTCTCTAACTTTTTTATTTCGATTCATTAAAAAAAACAACAACACAAAACATACAATATTTCAGAAATTTGTATGATATACATAATAAAAACTAGAGGTGCTATAACTCCAATAACTTTCATCCATTATTTTTATTGGCTTTGCTTCTTCTTCTTCTCCCTCAACCATTAGACCGGTTGGTCCGTTGCGCCTCCTTGATCTAACCATCTTCTCCTGGGTCTACCAACGCTTCTTCTTCCTTTAGGGATGTACTGAAGCACTTGCTTTGGAATACAGTCTTCTTCCATTCTTTCCAGGTGTTTTTTCCATTGTTTTCTGCATTCCTTAATTTTTTCGTTTAAGTTGTAAATTCCTATATTTTTCCGGATGATTTCGTTTTTTAATCTGTCCATTCTTGTTACTCCCAGGACTGATCTTAAAAATTGGCTTTGCATTATGGAAATACTACAGTTGACTCTGCTTATAGTGAACTTGTGGGGACCAACATTTTCGGTTCATTACATCCGATGATGTCAAAATTAAATATAATTTCTCCACAATTATTGATTTTATTAATGGAGAAATACAGCAAATTACATTAACAGCATAAACTGAAAATTTTAATGTCTTTATTTGACCTTAAAAATATGAATTATTTTTAATTGTAAGCTTTGTACATTTTTCATTAGTATTTTCTCTAGATATTCCTCCAGAGTCCATTCTCTCCTTACTTCTATGTTGTCTTCAGTGTCTAAGTACCGAAATGCAGTCTCAACATTGCCTAACAACAACAAAATCGAGGTAGTGGCTTAGCACAAGTAGCTAATGAAATTGAATGCTTTTCGACTTGGTGCAGCGACTGTTGCCAGGCTGTGGCAGCAGCGTGCTTCCTATCACCTCCATAGAACACCATGTGCCTTACACTGCGGAATCTTGGGTAACGTCAAGCTTGAAATTTAAGCAAGCTGTCACGCATTGCTGGACCAGTTGCAGCCCATGCAAGACACAACCTTCGTTTCTGCAGTAAAACCGAACGGCACAAGGTCGTCAGTACGGTCCCCATTCCGGGTCTGCTTCTGGTACTTCAACGGATACTTTTGCGATTATGTCCTTTGACCGATGTCATTTTCCAAGCTCCCTTGTGTTGGAATTTATGGTACCAATACAATTTTCTTTTTCCAGGATGTTTTATTTCTTATTGCCACTATGACCGTCTTCTTGTGCTTATTTGTAATGTAAGTAAAATGGGACCAGTGGCACAAGTTCACTAAAACATGATTTGTCTGTACTTGGTCCCCCGCAAAAGGTTTGCTCACTTCTGAATTCAAACTCAGGAACTTAGGTTCAACACACAATTCAGGTATCCAGCCACCACCAGCCTGAGTCAGAATAACAAACTTCCCAAAGCTTAAAAAAAAAAGAGTTGAAAATTGCCAAAGTTGAACATTTTTTCAGTGTCTTTCTAAAACTACAATACTGAAGGTAAGGGCCTTTTCCCTTAATGAAATCTGTTCTTAAATACAGTTCTTTAAATCCAAGGTTACCATAGAAACCTTAATCCACAGGATTCGATTATCTTCCACAATTTAAAAAAAAAAATTGTTTAGAAGATTACTTCTCTTTACCCATCTACACTATTTTTAAAATAAGACAATACCTTTTTATGAAATATGAGAAGTTTTGCATAATAGTGTGTGAAAGAAACAATTTTTAGAAAAATATTTTCTCAAAAATGGCTTGTCTACATGTGTAAAAAAAGTTTGTCTACATGTTTTCTTCAAGAGCAAAGTACACTTAAAAAATGGAACAGGTATGATTTTCATCAAACTCTGAAATTTTGGAATATTCCTAAAGTCACAAATATTAAAGTGTGTGCTGTTGTAGCATCCCCGCTTCAAAAGACTCAACGTTGAGCAATTTGGATTCCCTTTTTATTGCATTGACGTCAAAGCCCTTTCAAGTACTTCTAAAAGACAAGATATTTTCTTTTGTTTTATTGGTTGCCTAAAACCATAAAGGAACTATTTCTTTTTGAGTGTTCAAAATATTACCTAAAATTCTTGCACAAACTGAACAAAATTTAAAGAAGCACAGGCTATATTATGTTCAAACAAACTACTTAATAAAAAAACTTAAATACTTTAATACAAAGATAGAAAAATCATTTAGAATCATTTCAAAACTAAATTTTTTTGTAATCAGAAACTGGAAACAAATTATTTTATCAATGAAAACCAGTTAATTATTTGGAGTGATTTGAAGCCTTACTGTAAAGTGGTTCGAATTACTTAACAATCAATTATAAAATGTATCAAAAGGCAACAAAAGCATCAGTACAAAGAATAAACTGTTCACCAAGAAAAACTTACCGAATTTCATCAAACCTCTTTTCTGGTTGATTTTGAAGTTCCTTGTAAAGCTCTCCCTTTGGTGCAAATTCAAGAATTATGTACACTCTACTATCATCATGGAAATATCCATATAAATTCAAAATGTTGGGATGTCTGCAATAATTACAAAAACAAATTAAATTACATTGCTACAAATTAAATATTACAATAAATATGAATAAGTGGAACAATCTTGTTAATCATAATAGTTTACTTTACTCTTCACCAGAACGAGCACTTTAATTCAATATTAACTGGAAAGAAAAGATGGAAGAAAACAAAAAAAAACATAATGAACTCTTGCATAAAACTAAATTGACACTGCAAATAATGTATTCCACCTCAGATCGAAAGAGCAACAAAATAGAAAATTCACATCAGTTAAATGACATAACAAAATAATTTTATTGTTGACCAACACACAAGAATAAAGACAATATAAAAAAAGTAAGATTATTTTTGGAATACCTTAAATGAGCTTGAATTTCAATTTCTCTTCGCAACTGGTGTTCCACATTTGCCTTCTGAATCTGCGTTTTGAAGATGACTTTGAGAGCTACTATGAATTTTGACTTTTTCTCTCGAGCAAGATAGACATTACCAAATTTGCCTTTTCCTAATGCTCTCCCAATGTCAAAGTCTGTCAACTTCCATTTGCCCCTACAACACAGAATTCAATTACAAAACATAAGATTGAAACCTCTTGTGGATAAACACTCGAAGGTGGAGCCTGGAATGTTATGCTACTCCTTTGCTATGATATCAGAATAAATCAGGCAAAATCATTAATGAAATTAAATTTTAATAATTATTAATAGAACATTCTAGTCTGAAAAGTTTTCTCATTGCTGCATATACCACATTGTTTCAAGACAAAGGCACTCTCACGTTGGCCTAGTTTAACAAGCATGTTGGAAATATACACGATTGTAATTCTGGGTATCAGGAAATAGAGCATGACTTGCCTAATAATTGTGTGGCCTGGCAGCATCTAATTCCTTGATTTCTGGATTCCCTCACTCCCCCGTACAAATCATTGTGAACACCATATTATATTTGTCTTAATACAACTTGCTTTTGGACAATAAAATACTTGCCTCACACTATCCTGTTTGTTGGATATTGTTTCCGATTTTGAATCTTCATTCTTTTTATTAACTTGAATGATAGAAGGTAGCTGAAGAGAATTAGAATCTTCAGCCTTTTTATCAACTTGTTGAATGCTAGAAGGAAGCAGAAGAGAATTCGTATCTTCTTTCACTTCACTTTCTGAATTATGAGCTGCAACACCCAATTCCACTTTAACCTGACAGGACTGAGGCTGAGCCACAATGTTCTCATGTGAAGGCAAAGTGAGTTTTGAAGCCACCTTAGAAGCAAGATCATTTACTGATTGCTGAGTAGATTTTTTATTTGCAATGTTTGCTTCATTATCTGATTTTTGTTTGATTTCAACAGGATTAGACTGAACCTTAGGCTTAGAACATGTTGAAATTTTCTCTAAGGGTTTCTTATCATTTGTTTTAGACGATGCTGGACCATCAGATTTCTTGGGACATACAAATCCTGGTTTACTGATACTATATGCTAATTTTGCAGATGCTGATCGTGCATGTGTCTTTTTATTTGAATTGACATTTACTCCAGAAGATGGCACCTCTTTGGCTGAGGACTGACTAGCTTTGACAGGTTTGGAAACTGTGATTTGAACTTTTAATGGCCCAGTAACTTTTACACTACAAGTATTTTTTGGCGCAATTTTTTCTCCAGTGCCAATAGGTTTCACTGGCTGAGGTTTATTTAACACCTGAGTTTTCAATGGCTTCCCAGGAACACAAGGGCAAAGACCTCTGTCCACCACCGGAAATCTGTGGAAAAAAACAAAGAAACAAATATTAATGAATTTAGCAATTGAATTTAAGGTTGATCTGGATAAATTAGTTACACAAAGAAAGTTTCAGGTTAATACGATGAGAAAGTATTATACCAAATAAAAATCAAGATGAGAGTCAAGGCTGTTAATCATCAACCTAAATATTAATTAAAAACAGGGAAAAATCTATTAAGAAACACATTTCAACATTAAGAGCCTATACTAACCCAAATATGATTCTCGTGGTAATTCATGACCAATATTTGTTATGCAGCAATCTTGGCAACGCAACAGATACGGTTTTAAAAATTAAAAAAGGTAAAGATTTCTAATAAAATAACTTTTTACTTTTATTTCCCAGGTTACACACAATAGAATTAAATTAAATTCATTTACCAGTATTGGAGTGTTTAATAGATCACCGAATAAGTGCATAACAAAATACAGATATAAATTATTTGAGGAAACCTTTTCTGAAGTTAAAATCGGGTCCAACTTTATCCTATCATGTTCGGACAAGTACTTCACTCCTCGCTTGCGCACACTTACGCAGGTTTCTTAACGTTTCCTTGTGGTACGGTTTGCTTTGTAGAACCATATTCTGGTTTTTGTCTAGTAGGTGCACTGTTTGTTCGTTTCCGTGGGGCAGGAACTGAAGGTTTCTTCGGTTGGTTCGTGCAAATATTTTCTTTGCCACAAGGCATACTCGTGCAAGTTACACGTCCAAGCACACAAATCTTTTTCACTCCGTACTTTCAGAGCGAAACCACGACACAACTAAAAGACCGTGGCAACTATTCAGAAAGGAATCACCTCTAAAAAAGTTCCAAAGTAATAAACGAAGGAAGTTAATATCAGATAATACTTCACCAGTAAACGTGCATTTAAAAATGACATCAACCGCCATCCGTTAAAAAGAAAACGAATCTTTACTGTACTGTAGATTCGTTCATTCTCACTTACGTTCCAGTGAACCAAATCAGATACTACGCTAATCATTAAATGAAATAAAATTTACTTGGTCACCAAAATCTCAAGATAAGTTTGCTGTAAACCATCAGAAGAATTTCATGATTTAAAAATTAAAATAATTTCATAATAATGTTAATAGTTAATTAATTAATATCGCGCAACCACAGAGTTTAACAAAGTAATATTTTAGCGGGCAGTTTGAAAGCACATTGTTCGAACGATCAAAAAATCATGTCAATACAATTACGTAAATGCGGATACTAGAAGCTAATACCTATGTTTCGGAGAATAAAACTTAAGTACTAGCTTTTAACTGTAATAAGTATTACTATTTACAAATATTAAATACTCGCACTCGCAGTAAGAACTTATTTTTCCACCATTTACTTAAAATCATGTGAATAAAATGGAACTTCATTTCTTAAGTAAATACTCCAATTTTTAAGTGGGCTAGTGACCATACTTCAATGAGTTTTTGCTGTCAAGATCAGAGAATGTGATTGTGTTTCGATCAACAGAAATTGTATCTCGCTTGAATGTATATATAAAAAAACAAAATAATTATATGATGATGACGATTATAATAATAATGATAATAGTAATAAGAATTGCGGTGGGATCCTTGAATTTACGTGTATGGAAAAATTACTTCTTCGCAATATGACACCTGAAACTAATTAGCAGGATTTGTTTTAATTTCGTAAGGACTTGGAGTGGTTATCAGAACAATCGAGGGCACTGGATAGAAGAAATAAAACATGTCATCTTTAATAAAGTGCATAAGTTAATCTGATTATTAAAATATTGCGAATTGAGAAAAGTTTTAATATTGCAATTTAGAATTAAACATATATATTATTGAGGCGAAGGAAATTGCGTCCAACCAAGATATACTTAATAGGAGCAGGTTCGTAGAAAATCGAACGTGAGAATGCAATATTATCTACTAGTTTACTTTTTGGACATACTCAGAAGTTACGACTTATTTAATGCTGTGTTGTGATGTTCAATAATTTTCACAAGTTGAATTTGGAAAAAATGAGTGTGTTTCCCAGCTGTTTGAGCGGAGAAATTTAAATTTTTGCGCTTAGGAAATTGTCGCGAAACAACACACAAAACCCTATACTTGGGTTTTTATTTCTTGGCGCGAGATGACCTGCCTTCATGTTCTAACAGCATTTAGCGTCTTTCTCAATCGTGCCACTATATGCCGCATGATCACTAGCACTGCTCGACACGGTCGCGATCATGCGACATTTAGCGGTACGACTGAGAAAGTCGGGAAAAACCGTGAGATGTTCCATCGTGAACGCGATGGCCTCAATGCGTGACAAGGCCTCGCGCGCCAAGAAATAAAACCCCAAGTATAACTTCGCATATCCCCATGTATGACACAAGTGTGAATTTTTCCCCCAGCATTTAAATTCACTCGCGCCAAATTAAGTAATTTGACGTGAATAACCTTATACTTTTTCCTAGGAAGTAAATACTTGTTGAAGAAGGCAGCAGGTACTGCAAGGGAATAAAACTCTATCCGACGATAGCGCCATGAAGGTCAGCACCGGATTTCACTTTCCAGCGGAGGAGGCAGAGGAGGCTTTCCTCCTTCTACAGGCTGTTGCATGCACTACACTCACGGGATTATGACTAAAGAAATAAAGAAGTTGACGTATCAGGAATACACTCTACATATTCTGTTCTGCCTTTGGACGCACTGTCCTGTTTAGAGCTTTCTCGCCTTCACTACTAGGGAACGGATTTCAAAGCAAATGCATAGATTCTCCCTGCATGTAGAAAGAACGCTCACTGTTCTTTGACTAAATAAAACAAAGTCATCTGGAACTGTTTTATAAAATAATGTATGTGATTTTTTTGTAGTTAGCTGTTGACACTGCAATGTCGGCTAGCTCAGTGGCCTCAGCTGGATATCCTTTCGAGTGGATGAAGGAGGTAATAGAACAACTGGCATTATTTAATTTATGATTTCAGAAGGAAATACACAAAAACAAGTCCCCTCTTTCGAGGAAAAAATGAGCTCATATGAAAATTTTATTTCAAGTTAATATTAAAATGTACTCCTAATGCTAAAGACAAATTATGTAAACGGTATCGGTAATCAGGTCAATGCGCGGCCGCGCCAATTCAAAGAGAAACATTATTCAAACGAGTCTATGGATATAGCTTGAAGAACGTTATTTTAGGCCTGAAAGAGTGGATTTCCAAACGAAGGAGGGGAAGGGGTTGAGCGACACCGTCGGGGGGCGCAGGGACGCGCCGAAGGCGGTGACTGGAGTGCCTCCGCTTCGGTAAAGGGGGGGGGGGCTTGTCCCTCTTTCACCACTCGGTGTCTTCTTTTTACCGTTTAGTGCGACGTGGCAAAGTCTATGGTTATTGTGATTGGCTCAGATGAATTCAGAAGAACTCGCAGATAAATTCATATCTTGAATTTTCCAGCCCTCGTGAATAATCACTTATAATTTCAGTCCAATCTTAGTGAACGGAGAAATGAGCGCAGTGTCTTGCATGCGACAATGAAAAAATTTAAAGATCTCTATCACGCCAAACCCATCTCTCCTCTAGTCCTACTCACGTAAATCTTTTTCCAGCATCCCCAGGCTCGCTCCACTAGACTTCCCCCCTCCCTCCGAAACTTTAGGCTCCCAAATGTATCCTTTCCCTGAATACTCGCTGTCTTTTTGGATAAAGTTTGCTACGTCGCGCTTAATTCTCCACCAATCGTTGGCTGATCGATGGCTCACCTTCAGTTTTTTATTTAGTTCTGATTATAGTTACGGACATCTGCATTGGTTGGAAATGCTCGTATATTCCCATCATAGAGTACGTCGTTTTTGACAAAAATCACATCGTTAATCACTCAAAGCAAGAAGCTAATTAATAAAAGAATTTCCAAATTAATAGAAGCTTACATGAATCATGGGGATGGGATTCGTAAGATTCTTTTCTGCAATCTGAAAGTCTGGAAGTTATTGGATGTTTCCCAAGAATAGTATGCTACATCTCAGCCGGAAATAACCATTCGCGAAATGTACATATCGAGTAGGATGAGAGATGAGTATGAAATAATTCTGAACGCTTTGCATAATGAACTTAATATTGTGTTCAATTTATTTAAATGGCAGTTCCATTTGAGGTTTCACCGAGTTGAGAGACCCAAAAATGTTGTAACCTCAGTCAATTGCAAATCGATAATTTTCAAGGAATATGCATTGGTTAATTTGAAATGGAAAACTGTACTGAAACAGATTTCCCTACGTTTACTAGTAATTTGTTATTATGAAACCAATTTTTTTTAAATATGATGTTATACTATTTGCTATTTTTCATGGCAAAAAATATTTATATAATCGGTGAACAGAACTTTTCTTTCGTTTGAATCGACGATTGTATATCGTTTACGAATAGTAGGAAGAAAATAGATCTTAAAATCGATACTTGTAGAACCCCGTGTGTAATCGGTAATGAATCGGAAAGGTGGGTAAATAATATCCTTTTATTCTCCTTACAATTTTCATTCGATAGAAAGCACCAGCAGTAGTAGCAATGAATACACACATTATAAGTGATTTCATGAATTAAAAAAAGAAAAACTTCCATATAATAATAATAATAATAATAATAATAATAATAATAATAATAATAATAGAAAAAAATATGTTCAAACCAACCATAAAGAATACGACCATAAAGAATGGTTACTGATTTACTTTTCTCGGGAAAATTTAGTGTGAAAATGTGGATTTTAGATTGATCGTGCGAGTGAATTACATATTCTTTATGAAGGCTAATAATATAATATTTCGACGATGATGTCAGTATGTCGAAAATATTATTTTTCACTCGATACTACAGTAAACTGTCTTACAAGATTTAATTCCTTTTCTTTATAATTATTATTCCATTATTTTTACAATTTTTAATTTATTGCTCAATAGTTAAGCAATTTTTACTGCTTAAGTCCACTAACAAGGCTATAAATATCATAACAACCAGTTAAAACATTTGTGTGTGAATCTAGTTTTTAGCACAACAGATCAATTTCGCAAACAAACAACAGAAGATACAATGATGTAAAGTAATTTTAACTTTAAAAAAAAATGAAATCTTTTGTTGACATTTGAGTAGTCAGTAGGATGTTCTTAGGGACAACCGGCCATCCCAACCATGCATTGTAGTTTTCACCTTTCATTAAATGTCATTTGACATGCACTCATGCCTTTTTGCGGTAGACGAAGTAATGAATTTACTTGTAGATAATAATGTTGCTTTCTCTGCTTTGTTGGAACTACAGAAAGCCCATTTGTAGCTACATCCCATGATACAGATAGTTGATGCGTAGATGCCCTAGAGACCCTTAGAATTAGGAGGAAAGCCAGCTATCTTAGTCAAACGATATGCTGCATACGTTGTGATAATGCGGCAGTTTTTCACTTAAACTGTCTACATTTCATTACCTCTTCCATATTATTCTCGCCACCAGTAGCAAATGCTGGGGATATTCATAACTAGCAGGTGAAAGTACAAAAGTTCTGTTCGAATTAATTGTAACAATCAGTTTACAACTCTTTCCTAGTGTTTGGTAATAATGTTTCATTTGGTGGTATAAAAAATACAAAGTACCAATCGATGGTATGGAAAACTGTGATATGTATAACGAAATTATGAGAAAGTTAGTCGTAAGCCAAAGAAACAAAGTCCAAATATGAGCATAATTTTTCAGCAAGATTTTGCTCATTGCAATACCTCAAAGTTAACCAAGATATTCTCTCAGGATAACAATGTTCCTGTGCTTAATCCGATAGAAAATATGCTAGCTGTTCGCCAAAAGACTCACAAAACTCTACTTTTGCTCGGGACTTGACAATATTTCTATCTTTTCCCTTCGATATTATGAGAGTGAACTCGCAAATATGTACTTAAAACCTGTGAGGTCATTGTCTAATACAACTTATCATATTTAAAACTGCAAAAAAGGTAAATATAGGTAAAGGATAAATAAATATACAAAAATATAAAATGTGAAATGAGTTCTAATTAATTTGCACGAGGTTAATATAAATGAATCACGTTTAAAAGTACATACAATATACGAAATAACGATTAATAAATAATCTTACTGTTTATTATTATAAAATATATAATATATGTACATATATACTGTGTTATATAATTTGAACTATAGTGCAAATATTTGTTGATGGTGGAATGGAGAGGGAGATTTGTCTCCCGATAAATATGCCATTTGGCGAGACCATATTTATACTTTACAGTTTCTTGAAACTTAGTACATAAAAATGTTTTTCTTTGTTTTTTATGAAGTGGCTGCCGTTCCAATATGAAAATGGGCGATTACATCACTTCTCTCCAGTTGGGAAAGGTTCAATATGCAATTACGGCAAGCAAGAGACGAACATTACATCATTCTGCACACCAAATATCAATAACTAGATGACCTTAATTCGATATATTAATATGGAAATAACGCAAGTATTTATGCAGAGAGCTCGTTCGTCGTTTCAGTTCTTCCCAAGTCTTTCAACATTCACTTTTATCCTGCTTATCCAATCGCTCTTGATTTGGCTTTTTGTTCGTAAGTTCTTGTTGTATTTGTTCTCGAGTTTTCCCTTTAGTTTCAGGAACGAAAAAAACAATGAAAAGAGTACCCAGGAAAGAGAAAACACAAAAAATTGCATACGTAACATCTTGACCCAAGGAGGTAGTCATAATAGGAAATTCTTTGGCAATAGTAAATGAGAATATTCGGGAAAAACACACGCACACAGAACTACCCCATCCCTTAGCCTCGGTGGGCATTAATTCCGCCATCATGAAGTACTTAATAGGTCCGTATCCAAACGAAATATTGAACATGACGACCACCAAGCACACTAAAGGAGTCCAGTTCCACGAGGTCAGATCAACACCTTTACCATCAAAATGCGCGTAGACCGAAAACCCGAGCAGCGACACACTTAAGCAAATACTGGAAAGTATAAGAATGAAGCGTCGCCCCACCCGATCAACGAGCATAATAGAAAGGAACGTGCCCACAATGGACACGGCGCCGACGATGACCATACAAATGTCTCCGGGCAGACCGGAATTGACGGCGCGAAACACGTCTTCCGTGTAGTAGACAAAGGCCGTGCCCCCGGTGGCCTGCGAGAAGAACATAAGCCCGAACACAATGACGAGCGCCTTGGCGGTGGCGCGGTCCAGCTTCGACCCTGGGCAGCACGCGAGGAGCGGGCCGGCAGGGGAGCGCGCGTCCGCGGGCGAGTCTGGCGCCTTGGCGGCGAGGCAGAGCGCGTCCAGCTCCGGCTGGACGTCGACGGCGGGGCCGCGCAGCCAGCGCAGGGCGCGGCGGGCGGCGTCTCGGCGGCCGCGCCCCACCAGGAACGCCGGCGACTCGGGCATGCACCAGAAGAGCAGCAGGGTGGCGGCGGCCGGCGCCACGCACGCCGCGGTGAACCAGAAGTACGGCACGAACGCGCCCAGCACGTACATGAGCAGCAGGCCGCTGCTGGTGGACATGTCGAGGTACGAGCCGATGACGCCCCGCACGCGCACTTCCGCGATCTCCTCGCAGTACAGCGACACTATGACGATGTTGGCGCCCACGCCCAGGCCCGTCAGCAGGCGGCCCAAGTACAGCAGCCACACCTGGCGAGGGGGAAGGAATCGCCACACAAGCATGAGCCATAACTCACAATCTCTCAATACTCGTAATATTAGCTCAACACCATAAATTGTCATACCACATTAATATTAGTTAGGTCACTGAAGAGGAAGAGAATAAGAAAGAGAAGCAGAATGCAGTTAGAATAATAATAACAATAATAATAATAAAAAGAAGGAGAAGAAGAAGAGGAGGAGGAGGAGGAGGAAGTGAGAGTGGCGACCTGGTGCGCGAAGAGGATGAGCAGCCAGCCGAGCAGCACGGGCAGCGCGTGCGCCAGGACGGCGCTCCGGCGGCCGAAGCGCTGCGCCAGCGGGCCGGCGGGCAGCGCGCCCAGCAGCGCGCCCAGCGGCACCCGAGCACTCGCCAACAGCCCTCCTCCAGCACAAGGCGCACGGCAGCGCTCGCTCGCCCGCCTCCCCGCGCAAGCGCGGAGCGCCGGCGGTCCGACACCCCATCGCCATGCCCGCTACCCAGCGGCCGCCACCTTCTCTACCACCACACCCATGCACGCCGCTGACGAAGGTCGCTTCGCTCGCGGCACGCCCACTCGCGCAGGAAACGCGAGAAAGGAATTACCCAACCACGATAGTTACAGGCTATCGCTGTCGAGAAGCGCTGAGCCAGCGCCTCTCAGCGTAGGAAAGGAAGGATACATCAACCACATCATTGAAGGCATCCGCAAGGCGGTCGCTGTAAATAGTGGCGCGCCAGAGTGGTGCCGGCGCGCGTCTAGTGACACGCACAGGTACAAGCTAACATTAGCCTTCACACGGGGCGACCCGGTGGCGCCATCGAGTCCCTTCACACAAAGACACTGCCCAGCGTCACTCACCGCAGGAAAGGAAGGATACGTGAGCCACATTAATGTGGCATCGGCGGTCGCAAAGTAGTCAGTGTAATCCGCGGTGAGTTCGAGATGGCTAGTGTGAAGGCTGCCTTCACACGGGGTCACTCGGCGGCGCCACCGAGCCCCTTCACACAGACTCCGCCCAACGTCACTCAGCGTAGGAATGGAAATATACGTGAACCACGTCGTTGTGGGCTTCAGCGGGTGGGACGGGTTGTTTTCCGAAACCTTTGCACGCAGAAACCGACAATTGATTCCAGCTAAAACGACGATGTTACAAAATATTTGGACAGTGCAGCGTCTGGATGAAAATTAGACACAGAGAGCTCGAGCCAATCGCATTTAAAACGAGCTGTCATTTTGCCTACTACCCGTCGTTGAAAATAAACCCTCAAGAATTAGCTATTATCTCAAAAACTAAAATGACTCAAATTATTATATTTTAGCATTTTATAAAAAATATTTAAATCTTCAAAGTCGCAAAATATTATAAAATAAGTCAATAAAAATCTACACAAAAGAAAACTAAAACTTTAAAACAGTCAAAATGGCTACTTCCGTCGTTCTAGTGTTAAAAAATGAAAAGGTCTAGGACATTTTTGGACTACTGGGAGAAAGGTAATTAGTAAATAAGGAAACAGTACTCTTTTATAGTAAAAAGAACGGATTCTACGCCAGTTAGCAAATAATAAGATAAGATATTTGTTAGTGCCATTGAGTGCAACTCGGTGGCATTAATTTACAAAAATAAAATGAAATAAATAAAGTAAGTAAAAGTAAGTAAAGGTAAGTAAAAGTTAGTAAAAGTAAGTCAAAGTAAGTCAAAGTAGGTCAAAGTAAGTCATAGTAAGTCAAAGTAAGTCAAAGTATGTAAAAGTAAGTATAGGAAATTAAGTAAGTAGTACTTCCGAGCAATAACCTCAGAGGTGGGATAGCGGACGATGTTTAACTATATGTATTTTCAGAAGCTGAAAATGCCGAAGTCTGAAAGAAAAATCGTGACATCCACGCCTGAGAATAATTATTTGATTTTGGAAGATGATTGTGAAATTTTGACGCAATTGTCTCCTATACAGGGAATTTTAACTCAGCCATATCATATGGTCTGTCTTCCACGGCTCGAATGCGATGGTGGAGTACATAGCTGGATTCGTAGGAATATCTTAGGATGTAGGTTTTGTATTGGTTGAAAAGTTTCGTTCTAGCCACACAGTTTTAGTTAATGTAGTTCTTTCTCAATAAGCAATTGGTCTGTGTTAAATGTTTCTTGACGAGTTGAGTAAATACAAAATTCACATGACTAATTAAATAAAATAATATTGTTACTTTCTAAAATTATGAAGAACATTAATCGGTTTATAAGTAAGTGTACTTTATCACTTGCTCCATAAAAAGTTTATAGAAGACAAATATTTGAGCGGCGTAACTGGCGATTAGAAGCAGAATCATTCCTAGTGCTTCGGATTCTGTCACTGAATCTCGAAGGCACAAATACATAGTATATGGTTTGGAATGAAAGTAAATATGTATTCAACTTGAGATCACAAAAATAGTCAAATACGACAAAGCAAATAATTTTCAAGTACAATTAAGAAGTTACAAGGAATTATCGCCTTATGACCGATCAAAATGTGTTTACATAAATTAAGATACAATCTAATTGAAATATTAAAATAGTTCAATGTATTAATGTGTGTTTTACTTTAAATATTGATAATTTTATTACAGTAAGTTCTTAGGATTTTATGAAAAGCTTGACTCCAATTGAAAAAATACTTGTGTACGTCTCCTACGATTCTGGCCGTGGTATTTCAGCAGTTATTTACACTTGAATCTACAATAGGGAGTAATTCTTTAAAATCATATAAAACTAATATAAAACCTCAATAAGGCCTTTAGCACAGCAGCGAATCCAGAATGAATTTGAGGGAAATTATTATTGTACACACCCCCATTAATATTTTTGAAACAATAAAAGAGAAACAAAGTTAGCTTGAAATAAACATGTACAGTAAATCCTCGTTAATACGAATGCCAAGGGACCGAAGTAATCGGTATTCATGTTAAATAAAGTTCATGCCATCCGAATATTATATAAGTACGGGCCAAGAATTCATATTTTAAGTCCGAACCGATTCAACGTTGATAGAACAATAATATTCTTCAAATCAAATTCAAAATTAGCACCCAAACCAGATATAAATATAGTTAAACAACCAATAAATAATAAAAAATCATCTATGAAATATGTTTCAATAACACTACCAAGTCGAATAATCAAATATACTCTTGCTGAAACTAAAGCAGATGAATGAACCGTACATGAACAATAGCCTTAGGGAGCCAAGAAGAAAAAATGATATTGATTATTTACAATAATATTATTTATTACAATTTGACTTCTAGATTTTTTAGCACATAGTGTGTCTTCGCCGGGACCCAAATTTTGTACGTGTTAAAAGAGTTCATTCTACGAGTATTTAGTACATATTCATAATGCGAATAGTCCTTTCAATGTGAAGCGATCAATATGACAAGCAATATTTTGAAAAATCTGAGTAAATTCTTTAAAACATTTAGGCGGTGGGGGCGAGGGGGCGCCGTCGCTCACATGGCATCTCCTTGGATTCCCATCTGCTTTGGTCAGTGCATCCCGAATTTCCGAAGGAATACATTTCTCGGATACTTACCAACCAGAGCAGCTAGGTGCTGACTCCATTGCCTCGGCCGTTGTACAACTGCGCTGTCCTTCGCGGAAGACTCCATGATGTGCGCGGCACACACCGGTCCACGCTGTTGCCTTCAGGGTGCTCCTCTCCGACGGAAGACTGCACAGAAGCGCACGGAAGTTTTGTTCTTCTCTGCGTCCTAGTTGCATGTGTTGCTATGTGTCTTAGTTCTACCGCCACGAGTCGACTCACGCGATCACACTCGTTACACAACAAAGTACCGCCTTCCCTTCCTTGACAGATCGGTTGTGACGTGGCGTCTGTTGCTAACTATAAGTTTCGTCTTGAAGCGACTCTTATCAGGCTACCAGGTATTATTTCTGTAGCGTCATAGAATCTCGCGATGTTTTCTTGTCCTTGTTTTCGGCGTGATTTGGCTGATGTAATTGGGTGAATCCCGCTGAAATGTACAGGTCGTAGATCTCGAGATGAATTTTCTTTCGCGTGCGTACGATGCGAGCATGCATGGTTCATACGGGTTCCGTAATTGTTTTGAATGTTACTATGAATTTGTGGTTCAAACGCCAACGATGTTTACGTGAGTGACTGGGGGCATGCCACACGATGCTTTGAGCTTGCCGGCGACGTAGCGTGATATTAATTTCTTTGCTGAACATTCTTTCATACTTTTATAATCTATTAAATTATCAATCTTAAAATGTTGCTGAAAATAACCTCTTAAACATCCGTATGCCATACGCTGAAACAAAATTAAGTATAATTCATTTCATTCGCAAAGTCGGTAGCACCAATTGCACAAGAATGAACTAGTCAGTGACCAACAAGATAAAATGAGTCTTTCTAGTCGGCCATGGAAATAGTTTCAAGGAAATGAGAGAATGTACCATTTAAGCAGTTTTCCTACATTAGTAGATTTCGTTCTAAATGCGAGATATTTTACACGATCTAGAGGTAAGAAATGATGTTACAAACGATTTTGTCATGTTATTTTAATTGCCCATAACATTAATAAATATTACTTAAATCGTGTTAATCATGTGAATTATTTTATGGAAGAAAACTTAATTTATTCAATCAACATTTTCACAAACAGTTTTGATTTCTCTGGCTTGAAGTAGGATCAAACAATGATTTTTTTAAAAAGTTGTGTGTTGAAAAATCGTATTTAAGAGGATTTTAAAAAGTTTGATTTAATAACTTTTTGGCAACTGTACTCCTAGGATTAGCATCTGTTTATTGGGGTTTAGTATTAAGGTACCTGGTTTCACTCATGGCGCCCTTGTATAATCCATGGTCATAAATTCTGATATTGGTAAAAAGGGTGAAATATCCTCCTGGCCACGAGATTTATTAGGCAGGACTATGCTAATGTACTTGAATGTTTGCTAATATAGTAATAACTACTGTGACTTCCGCAAGTGTCGAAAATGCAGTGTTAAAGAAATGAGACCTGTACAAATTATTGATTGTTCTTTGATGTGTCTTTGGTAAAAAAGAAAACATTGCAGCCGTTTTTGAGAATTGTTTTTAATAAATTGTATTAATTTCGAACAGAAATTACTAAAAAATGATGGTTTTCGTTTTTCAAAAATTGTACATTAACATTTTTAAATATATACTTTTTTAAACCGATTTCATTGAGTAAAAATCGACATCATGAACATTGTAGTTTTGCAATGTGAAATTTTGCAATTTTTACTTTTATTAATACTACATACGGAGCATACAGAAAGTTATGTACTGTTGCAACGAAAAGGAGGCGAATTTTCGGCAGAAAAAGTCGTAAATCAGATCTGTGATATCAAAAAAGAGGATAATTGGCTGGACTGGATCTAAAGTGGTCTAAGCAACATTTTGGCCAAAATCGAGGTTATGGTGAATTTGATCTGAACAAATGAGCATCTATACGTTCTAAAGTTGTCTA